GAAACTCGGTGTGCATTTTGTGGAAAAGAAGGCGAAGACTAAGCCAGAAGCATAATTACGATGATCAGCTGCACCAAAGATTAAGCTTTTTCACGTCACAGTTGGAAGACACTTCAAGCGAAGAAAAAAGGCGCAAAATGTTCGCTATTATTGGATTAAGTGATCTGCAATTTAAAACGATATTTGATCAGTAATCAAAAGCGAAGATAGGCTGACTAAATACTGTCGCTAAACAAAACAAGTTAAAACATAATGCTAACAGTCTGGAAACAACCTCAAGAAAACACTGGTTTCGGGAAAGCTGCGTTTCTAGAAACATATTCTCTCAGATTTTGAGCGTCACAAATAAGCAGTAACTCTAAAAAAAGCTTTCCGTGCTGCTACAGCTACGATGTATTTATTGATGTTCTGAGTTTTGCCAGCGAAAATAAGAAAGTGAAAACATTGAGCGCGTCTCTAAGTTAAAGTCTCAAAAATAAAAACCAAGTTAATTCTAGCTAGTCTTTCAACAGCCAGTTCTAAAGTTTACCGCAGAAATAAAATCTATAAAACGAAGAGGGAGCCAGAGTATCCAACAATTTGAGTTCGGTGAGACTGACAAACCTAACTGTAAATGTGTCAAATTCAAAGAAAAGATTGGCTAGGCTGTGTCTTTTCGTTCAGCCTAAATGTTGTCTCCGGATACCACGTTTCAGTTATAGAGTAACTTCAGTCTTTTCCGTTAGACAAAAAAAATTGTTCTGAAAATTTTGGCTTGAAATTGAGTGCGAAATTATCTTTAAATAATAGTAATTGAGTTGAACAGCATTTTATTGCAACTGTTACAAAGGAATTTCTTGATGAAGACCAAAACAAATTCACTGGCATCATCTTCTCCTCTTTTTCCTCTACTTTATTTGCTACAGCTGCTTGCTCTCTTACTTTTCATTTTTTTAAAATTTATTTATCAATTAATCTTTTTTTCTTTAAAGTAAAATTTTCTTTCATTGTTTAAATATTTTTTCTTCAGTAAAAAGAAACAAATTTTTGTTGATAATTTTTTCTGTTTCTTTGGCAGATTTTATACAAGGTTCCATAGTCGCAAGAAATAAACTGCTTCTGAATAACAACGATAACGAAAAATGCAAAAAAAACTTTTGATTTTATAAAAAAAACTATTAAAATTTGTAGCAATTTTTAAAAAGAAAATTTTTAGTCAATATGATGGTATTAGTGCATCGTAAAGCATATTTTTTTTTTGGTTTTTCCAGTACCGAAAAGACTGCTCAGCCAAAAGAATGATGACCCGTTTTTTTCAGAAGACACTAGGCAACAGAAAAATTGAAAAAGTTGAAACAAATTCTACTTAGTATGCGTTTTTTACCAACACAAGAAGAGGTTGTTATTGCCAAAGACGATTCAAATCTGCATAATATTGGTGGACAAGTTTCGAGAATGCAGCATTTTTGACAAAAATTTCTCTTTTTATGCTTGGTCTCACTTACGGCATCAAAACACCTGATGTGACAAATAAAGTTATGGAAGATGAAGTTGCAAAAACAACAAATAACTCAACGAATTTTCAATGAACAAAACGATATGTGACCTCGTTTCAGAATTTCAAGCTGAATGCGGGCAACGGTCGAAATATAACGTTGTCTTGTAAGCTGACACTCTAGCACCACTGAGTGGTGCTTCAAAGCTGAGTTTAAAGAACAAAAATGTTTAATATTTTGTTAAATATCAACTTAATTTTGAGCAGACACTCCCAAAATTTGTTCCAATTGTAATCACGCTTGACGAAATTTTGTCCAAAAATTAATTAATTGAAATATTCTTTTTGCCTCAGTTTTGCTTATCTGATTGGGATTTCAGGAATCATCTGCAATTCAAGACCGCGCTAGGTATATTCTGAACTTTTGTAAACGGTAGAAATTATTTTTGCCTTTCGTTATCGTAAGCACAGCAATACGAATATTAGAAGAAGATAAGAACCCATTTGCAGAAAACTGTTGTTCATTTCTGCTGCAAACTTTCGCGACTGAAAGTCTGCTGAACTTTTCTAAAGGGAACAATTGAAAAAAAAAAAAAAAATTGATTATGTAGTGTGTGACACCGTCTCACTACGTTACGCTGATTGACTGCAACAGCTAAGACAACCAAAATAGTGATAATTTTGGAGAGCCTCTCCCGTAAAATATGATTTTTAGGTTAATAAGTAGACAAGCAGAAGACCTTTACTGTAATTTCACGTCATGCCATTTTCTTATAGAGTAAGGATAACGTAGAAGTTGCTGAAAATTTTCAAATTTACTATGACTGGAAACATATATTTAAGTTTAGCTAAAGTTTGTAAAACCATTTTTAATTTTAGAAGTTTTTTTGGCCGCTGGTGTTTTACTTTAACAAGTCCAATTCACCGAAAACAAAAGTTGATATTTATTCTTGAACAGTAGTTGCTGGCGCTAGAGACAAGGCTTGCAATTTCTTAAACACATTTTGTGTCTATCTATCCTTCTAAAAATTCCCTTAAAAACCTTGACCACAACACCATGACTCTTGCTCCTGTTCACGCAGCTCTCATTTCCCTTGTTGGACTTCCAAGTCAAGAGGACAAGATAGATTAGTTCTTCTGTTTCTGAAAAGTGCGACGAGTTTACTTCCACCCTGACAGAACCCATTTTGAAACCTTTAACAAACGTTGGAGATATCAAATTTACTGTCGTCTAGCAACTGTCTAAGCAGTCCTCGGTAAAGTGGCATTTAATCCTCGATTCTTCCATGCTCATATTTTTTGCTCTGAGGCCGCTAATTGTCCGTTCTGTTACCCCTAGCCTTCTTGCTGTAAAAAATTTACCGCTCTTAATACTTCTAAAATTTTGTCTTTCACTTTAATCAGAGGATAACAATTTAATATGGCTTCTACATCACATATGACTATTTCGAATTTACTTTTAATCAAAACTATGCTTGCACCTGTTCTACCCCTAACTTGTTTCAGTAACCTAATAGGTTATTTCCTTCTCGCTTTTTCCGCGTGTTACGCTAACAACGTCCGGGTGGAAAGCTGAGTTTTATGAATTATTCGTTTGCGTTTTGCCCAGGCTTTCTTCTCCATACAGTTTGCCTTCCTCAAGCGGTTACACAAACTAATTTTAAAAAGTGGAAAAATTTGTTCACTACTCGCAATAAAAATACTCACAAAAAAGAATAACGAGAAAATAATGAGTTTATCAAAGGACAATTACTTTGTCCTCTGCATAGATACTTCGGCTCTGTGATATGTGTTTTGCTTGATTGTCTATTTTTTTGCTACTTTTTCAGAAGTTAGCTGTGACTTCTAACTAGGAGTTATTTAGGACAGTCACTGCACTCAACTGCGAAAGCACGGAACATCTTCTTGGAAAAACCTTCACCTTTTAAAAAACATCAAACCCGAACGGGAAAATAATTTGTTTGGTACAACTGGGAAACTTCCGTTGAAGAAAAGAACAAATTGTTCGATCAATTCTCTATTACAGTCATTCATACTGCAAAGCAAGAAGAACAAACAAACGACACCAAAAGCACCCACTTAGCAATAGAGGAGAACTGATAAACAGCCAGCACAATGCTTTCTGCCTTCTCTGTCCAGCAGATCTGTATCTTCACAAAATCTTTTCCTTCTCATGATCTCAGTGTTCGATACAAATACACCATTCAGTTTTTTGGAAAAGTGGTCATCGTAATTATCACAGATGCACAAAACAAAAATACAAATAGTTCTTTTTCAACTCATAACACTTAAAACACATTCTTCTACTGACTCAGATCAAATGATGCAAATATGCTGAATAGAGGGAGTAAAAATTCCTAAATAACTATAAGTGATTCCAACATCAATTATTACCAGCGCTTCACGCATAATACTAAATTAAAAGACAGCAACCATTTCCTAATTAAATTCAAAAATAGTCGCGCCAACACCTTCTTACGGATGACTGAGAAACACAAACAAAATAAGAACCGTACATCTTCACAATGCGCACCAATAAAGTTTAGGAAATAAAATTATATAAAATATCCCATAATTATCAAAATGCTAAAATGCAAAAGCAGAGCAAAAATTCGACTAAAATACTCAGTTCAACTTAGCAATATTTTTTACTTAACGATCAGCTTCTTCAATTTAGAACCTGAAATTGCAAGAAATGAAATCATTGAGACAAAGAAAGCACTTCCATTTCAGCAAGCTTATGAACCATCAAAAAAGAAAAAAGGAAAAAAGTAAAACAGGAAAAGAAAAGCAAAGGAAAAACAAAGTAGGCAGAAAGCTGACATTAACTCACAATTGTCTGAGAAAGCACACCTCCCACATTCTTATCAAAAATGATCAGAATTAAGCAATTAAAGAAAACAACAATTGAAAAAAGTATTGAAAAAAATTTCTAAGCAACCAAATAATAAAAAACTCTCACGAAATCAAAAGCTGGCAATATTGACACGGTGCGAATAGACCAGCAAAGGAATAGCAAAATTAGCCAACAATGTTAACCTCTTGTCTCGCTATCACTCAGTAAAGTTCAAAAATTACTATACATAAAACCGCAAAAGAACTTCTTTCTCTGCTAAAAAATCTGCGCTCAACAGCAATGCACTGATCACATGCCACCATTGAACAACGACTGAATAGCTAAGTGGCAGTCAGGCAGAAGACAGGTTGAAATACAACGTTCTAGAAAAAACTAAAAAAATATTCGAAATAACTCTACCTTTTTCAAAAAATTGTCTCTATAGATCATGCAGTAAAAATTTATTTCCCAGTAACTTCCTTATTATTACACAGATAAAAGTTAACAGATTTAGCAAGCTTACATTTGTACTTGAAACAAGGCTTTTCGAATAGCCAGGATGCGCAAGCAAGCAATCACAGTACTTCAGAAAGCCAAAAATATCACATGATAACAAAAAAATTGTCAAGACGAAAAGCAGTCATCCAATTAAAGCCTTAAACAGAAACGTGGTGTTATAATACGTGAAACTTATCGAGCTTTGCTGCTTCCTGCTTGGTCATGGTCAGATTTATCCCCCGATTTCTTTCTTAACGATTCAAGATACTCTTGATGAGATATGGCTAGGACCTGCGCAAGCAGAGCCCGTTCGTCTGCATCATTCATTGCCGCGTGAGCCCATTCGCTTGCCCCTACAAATGTGTCAGCAATGGTTTACGACATGCCCACTGTTTATGCGAAAACGCAATAAAAATATCACAAAAAAATCAAAAAAACTCTACTAAGTTCGTAGAAAAAAAAGTACCCGTGTGCTACTCCTTCCCCAATGGTACATAAACAGCTACAACATCCTAAGATTCCTTACATACAAGACTATATGTCCCTTTCAGCTTTAAACCTATGTCTATCCAAACCACTAGGAAAGTTTACCGATAATTGAAGAGGCCTCACTGCTGAACGTACTCAGCCTTGTACCGGTATCTTCAACATTTTTTGTACTATCGGAATCTAAATGTTAATTATAACCAACTGTTCTAAGTCAAATAGACCAAACCATGAGTAAGCAGCGAGGTCCTTTTACTAACGTAAAATAGTAGGCACAGCATACTGAAGAATAACCCTGCACTTTTTTTTTCTGAATTTTATTCAGGAAGAACCACTCAGCTGAAGTGTTCATTAAGTTCCGGACCAAAATGTTCCTGCCAAACTATAAAAGACAGTAGTTACACAATAAAGAAAACTTAACGCACTCGAGTTTCCGGGACTAAGTTCCCTGGCACGAACTTTAGCACAATGAGACGAAGAGCAAGCAGGAGGACTGTCTGGTGAAGAACGTTTGTTCCCAGCCACACTTACTTGTCCTCCTGACTGTCGATTTTCAAGATTACGGACATATTCCATGTACGATTCTCTCGCAACCTAAATTTTCAAAAAAAAAAAAAGAAAATGATTGTGTTATAAAGAACAGTAAGTTGGCAGGATTTGAACTGAAAATGAATTTGAGAGAACAGATATCCTGAAATAATATACCTGTTCATTAATTTCCTGTTCAGTACGCTCATAGTCACTTAACTTTATTTTGTCCTTCAGCATAGCTTCTTCCAGTGCTTGAATTTCAGACGTGCGTAAGGCCTCATGCATTAAGCTTCTATCAGCCGCCCCTGGGGAGTAACCAGGTAAACCTAAGCCAACTCCAATCGTGGCATTCAGAGGATCAATAACTGAAACCCAAACCACTGTTATTATAAACAAGGAGTCGTGCACAAATGTTTTAAAAAAAAATATTATTAATTTTAAGACTCAAGAGGATTAAAACAAAATAAAAATGTTTGGTTTTTTGACAAATAAATAAAATTATCTCCGCAACACAAGATGAAAACATTCTCTGAACTAATTTAAAATTAGAAAAATAAAACAATAACTCACCTGAAATAAAAAACATTTTTGAAAACATCTTCAAAAACTTTTATGCAGTGGTAAATTACCTGAATTATAGTGTGAAGAACCATGGTACGATAAACGCAAAGGAGCATTTGGATCTAAGGAACTTGACGGTTCAATCCGTGGGTTGAATATATTTTTCGGCTCTATAAATTTACTGTAGCGACAATAGACATGACAACAACATAAGTAAAAATTTTTCAAGCAATCCCCACACCTGTAGAGTACTCATAAAGCTCGATAGGACGTAAATAGATCTCTGATATAGCTTGCAGTTCAATATGATTGCCTTCAACGTCAGGTCTTCGTTTCCTAGCCAAATAATCTGAGAAGTCCTCAGTAACGAATTGTGAAAAGTGATCCCTATTCTTTTCCTTCAAAATAAGATGCATTTTTTAAGAATTCAGAGAGGCTGGAAAAACAAAAGTTGCATTTAAATTTCATATTAATAACGCAAGACAAATGAAAAAAGAGGTTACAAGAAATATGACAACAAAAAAAAAATGCAGTTCAAGAGTAAAAATGAAGCGCTTACAACTCGTATTGACACAAAAAAACACGTTGATATGCACAAAATTACTAAGACAGATGAATCAAGCAGAAAATTTAAGTAAAAAAATTCGTACATAATCTGACAACTTTTGATACCGCAAAAAGTGTCAGAGATGCACAGACAATTTTAAAAACTTACCATATAGTCCAAACAAAGGCGTCTCACATCTAGATGCATTTCTTCATCACCGTAAACTTGATCGGCTGGAAAATTTATCAGCTACTCATAAACTGTTGACTATCGTCATAAATTAGAAAAGAAAAATAAAAGCTAGAAGTGTTAGTAAACCATACCAACAGCCCTAAATAAACAAGCACCATCGCCACGCATCTTCTTGATGACAAATCCACGAGTCCGCCTTAGTCTGTCTTCAAAAGCAACTTCTAGCTAAAAATGAATTAACACGCTATTAAAACAAGCAAAATATGTAGCATAAACTTTTAAATCCCGCATGCAAGAAAATCTGTAACAATAATTTATTACCTTGTCGTCTCTAAAACCTGTGCCGTATTCATCATCAGAATTTCTTTCAACATTATCTGAAATCATACTTATCTAATTTTTCATTGAAAGAAAGAATTCTTGTGTAAAAGAAGAGGTTACAAACTCAAAACACACCCCGCTCTTCTGATGTGATTAACTTAGCACCATTCGATAAACTGTTGCTTCCTTTCCTGTTTTCTGCACCTGTTACAGAAGGTCCACTATGCGAGTGAGCGGTGCGTTCAGGTTTCCGTTCGACTGCAATTTCTGCAGGCATTCTGAAAAATGCTGAGGTTTTCATTACTTGATACTTTGATACATAAAAGTCAAGCCGCCTCGAAAAGCTTTTCCAATGATCTTTAGCACAGTTTCTATACGTACTCCATTAAGAGAAGACGAAAAGCAACTTTTCTGGAAAATCCGTAAGCATTAACTCCTAAGAACTGCCATCAGAAGAAACAAGTAAGAAAAGACAAGAAAGACATTACTGTTATTCACCTTGCTTGAGTGGTTGCATGTCGCTCATTTTTCGGCAAGGTTTTCTTAGTCTTATTGGACAAGATAGTCATTCTAAGAATTAAGCTTGAACTTCTAAATTAATGCTTCTGCAGCCACGGACTAAAAATGGTTAGACTTGACAAACCAGATAAAAACGCAGAGACTATACTTTCTTCTCCTTGTAAGAAAAAAGTCAAGATTTATAGTTCCGACAAAAAATTGAACAGAAAGCCAAACTTTTTTTTAAAATTAGTTATATTAGTGAACGAAGCTTTAACAAGTAACACTGCCAAACTTACCCTGACACTCAAATGACAGCGTATCCTCGACCCAGAGATGCTCACTACGCCTAAAAAGATTAATTCACTACGCGATAAAACAAATGACTCACTCTAAAATAAAACACGCAGTCCTACACCCGGACACAATAAACAGCTGACCAACCACGAACAATGTAAACGCTACACCATCATAAGAATTCTGCTAAAAATACTGCTTCTTCACTTCAGCGTAATTTATGAGCACCTTAACGCACTTGATCTCTTCCTTCACTGATCAACAGTAGCATCTAAATGCAAAACCTTTACCACAACGGCAGGTTCCCCGAGTGAAAAAGGTCCAAAGCATTTCTAGACAGCTACTTAAATGGTGCATTCAGTACCAGCAATAGTTAATCAACCCTCATGAGATCATTCAAAATATTAATCTTCGATGTACTTGAAACACACTTCTAAATATTTAATTAAAGAAGACGGCAAAAGTTTATTGAATTATATAACACCACAATTCAATCCTAACATACTTGAGATTCTTACTGATTAATTTGCCATACCTAATCGCATCAAGCAATATTAAGTGACATTGCAGATAGAACTGCTTGAACTGCCGCCATAGTAACATACAAACCATCAAAAAACTGTACGCTAAACACAAAAAGAGAACAATATGAATACCAGATTACGCAGTCAATCGATTATAACAATTAAAAAAATCATAACCTAAAGCTGCAAGATAAACAAATACCCTTTTCAAGCCAATTCACAAAAACCAGACCACCAACAGTAATTCTGAGAACGCATACTGCTAATGTAAATGATACAACCTGAGACCAGAAAAAAAAAAAAAAAAAAAAAAAAAAAAAAAAAAA